ACGTCACATTTAACGTCATCAAACAGTTAACTGTAAAAGTGAAAGTAGGTTGTCAGCACGAATCGCTTTATTTTTATTATGAGACCTTAAGCGTATTTAGTACAAACACATTTTTGTTACTATTGAATTTGAAGAAATAATACGACAAATTCATTCCGAAAAAAAATGAAAATAAAACTTGCTTCTTGGTTCTACTGCTTTGAACACACAAACAGAAAACATCTCTGTACAGAACAGTAGAAGAGTAGACAAGAATTTCAACGAAAGAACTTCAAAGTCTATTTGTTTTGATTATATTTTTGTTATTCATTTATTTTTTTTGAAATGCTATTATTAGATCTACCAAGTGTATTAAAGACATTAATACACGTCAGCGTAGGGCCGGAAGGTGATAATCGGCCCTGAATGAATAATGCTAAAGCCCTCGGGTCCATTATTCATTTTGCGGGCCGATTATCACCTTCCGGCCCTCTCCTGCCGTGTATTAACCTCTTAATAAACTTACTGCAGGTGTGGCAGCTGATCTAGGTCTACATGCACGCAGGTCACATGGGCATATTACAGGCAAATTAGGGTTTAAAAACTAATTAAGATATACAGGCCACAACAATTTTACCCAAAAATTAATTAATGACATAGCTGGACTAAATTTAATTATTTACTTATCTAGTATTGACACCACTACTGCACTTCTACACGGATAATCATGCATAAATTTATTTAAGTTAAATTCAAGGCTTAGCAAACATTGTACTGTGCATAGTGTAATGCATTACTTAATACTGGTATATATATTGTTTGATTTTATTAACCTGTCACTTGCATACTGACATTATATGGTCAATGCACACATATATTAATCGTCGGCAGATTTTCAGCAAGGTTCAGTGCGCTGTACGCAGTAAGAATTTTGTGATCAAATTTATTTATTTCAATTATTGAAGTAATTATACTGACCATTATAGCACAAGTGCTGTAAATAGACCGCAAGGTCAATGTTTTTTCTTATTTATATTTTCAACATTTAAGAAGTTCTTTTTATGTTTTAAATTGTTTGGCTTTTATTTTAGTAAATTCTTTAATGCTATTTCAAGTTACATTGTTTGATAATTAATTCAGTCTGATTAAAAAAAATATCAGATTCCATTAAATAAAATAAATACAAAATAAAACAGTGTTGTTCACTTCCGTGTCTACATATTTGTAAACACTCAGTGGTTTTTCATTAAATTGTACTTCAAAAAATACAAGAGAAAAAACAATTACAACAGCATGCCTTTAACATCAGGCTTCTATTATCAGGTAGTCACTTATCCGACTGTGCTATTGCGGATGACAACTTCTACATTAATCTAATGTGACTTCAAAACTGTTTAATAATTTAAACATTATCATATTCCATATTAATTCTAGTAAATTACATGTACATGGGGGGGGGGGGGGGGGGGGCGTCAGTGGCCAAGCCGTTAAGGTTGTTGACGTCAAACCGTTTGCACCTCACTGCTGTGGGTTTGAATCCTGACAGGGACTTTGGATTCTTTCATGTGAGGAAGCTATACAGTGAGCTAGCTTACGGAACGTCGGTGGTTCTACACAGGTGCCCATTTGATCCTGAAATAATGCAAAGAAGGGCACCTGAGGTCTTCCTCCACCAGTAAAGCTTGAACGTCGCCAAATGGCCTACACTGTGTCAGTGTGACGTAAAACCCAAACAAACAAACATGTACATGGACAGAACAGAAGATGGATCACATATTCAATTTAATTTTTTGCAATGTATTTATTTTATAATTGACAGGTCAATAGAATTTAGACTATATATATAATACAAATCAGTCATTTTATTGATTTCTATTAAGTTATACAACTGGAGAAAAAATCAATATTTGATTTATATAAGTTCTCAACTTTTTAACTTACAGTTATTTTAGAAGTCAAAGGACGAAAAAAATGTTGTTTTTTTTTACCAAATAATCAGTATAATAATACACAAATGATTTCTGTTAAATCAACTATATGCTATATTAAATAAAATATATAGACTTCCATGATGTACACACAAGTTATGTTAATAAGCAACACAAATTTGAATCCTCTTCAGACAAACATTATATTAAAGCCTAAGTCTACAATCAGGAAACATAGATTATTTTGTGGCCTTAATGTTCTCATTTGATCACGACTAGAGTTTAAAAACGAGTACAGTCCATCAGCCAATCACAGCATTACACACATTATTATATTTTCTAACTAACCGGTTTGTATGTTTACATACACTTATCTTTAATAATATTCTTTCTAATATTTCCTTATAACCCCTATCCTGCTGGGATTGAAAAATATTATCCTGTTTCAACTGAAAATGACTTGCTTTTGTCACCAGTATAGAGCCAGGCCAGTGTGCACATCCTTGCAGTCTGACTAGCTTCTATACTGGTGGTTACTCAATTTTTGTATTTTGATATTGAAACAGACTGTTTGAAATTTAAAGCTGGACAAAGTCAACAAATTCAACAGGTTTATAGTTTAAATAAAACATCATTACAATTATAAAAAAATATTCATTTAATTTCCTTTATTTTAAAAAAATAATTTCACTTGTTTTTTGGGTAAAATCATTTAAAAATTTACGTCTTTTAGGGTTTTTGATTATCTTTTCCCCTTTAAGTCTGAACTCAAATATACCCCAAATTTTTTGTCCCCAATAAACAATTAATTAGATGACTTTAAAAAAAAGTTGGGTTGCCCTTTTAAACTTAGCGATATAAGATCAAAAATTTTCCCAAATTGTTTATTAAAATTATTTCCGGGGGGATCACTTTTTAAATTTTGATTTTAAAAACAAGCCCAAATTTCCTTCATTGTTTTAAATAATTAATAACATAGTTTGAAGGGAAGCACCCGGAAAAATTTTTTTCCGTGTCCAGATTATTTTTTATTTCGTCCCACCCTGACCGGGGACGATTTTAGGGGGCCCTTTAACTGGAAAAAACAGGATCTTACATTTTAATTTTTTTTTTTGTTTTTTTGGGTCAATTTATTTGTTTAGTTTTAAACATTTCAAAAAATATTCCCGTTTATAAAAAAAATTTTGCCTGTTGGGGGGTTATAATACATTACAACCAATTTCCCAAAAAAAAAATTTTGAGATATAATTTATTTAATCTGCCCCCCCAGAAAATTTACTGAAACCCCTATCCTTATAACAAAAAACCCTAAAACAATTTTTGATTTACAGGATTTCATTTTTTTTTTTTTCATTTTACCTTTTTTGGGACTTTTTTTTTAAAGGGGAAAGTCATTTTTTAATTAATGTATGTTTCTGATTTTAAAATTTTTAAAATCATTTCTATCTTTAAAGGGAATTTAATTCAAAAACTGCTTTAAAAATATAATTTAAATTTTTTCCTGGGAAAAGGGCACATGGGTTTTGGGTTTGGGTTTGGGTTTGTTTTTCCCCCCAGGTTTCAGCGTTAAACACCCCTTTTTAAAACCATCCCCGGAATTTTTCCTGGGCAAGCAAATTTTAAGTAGTTACCAATACTTGCCTTCACTAACAAAAATGGAAATTATAAATTCCCGTACATCCCTTTTAGCGAGGACAGTGTTGAATGAGTACGAATTAAAAGGGTTTCCCCCAAATCATCAAATGGGAAAAGGACCTTGCAATTTTTCCCGGGTAAATAAAGGTTTTAGGCCTGGAATTTAAAGTTCCCAAAGCTTTAAACCCAAAAGACTAAATTTGACAGTTTTCTCTTTTTAAATTTGCAAAAAATTTTTTACACCATGGATGAATGTTAATTAAAAAAAAATCCTTTTCATCCTTCAGTAACAAAAAAACTCCTGAAAGGGCTTTTCAATATATAAAAAATTGGGACAATTTTAAAAATTTATGCATTCCCCGTGCATGAAAATGTTCATATCTAATTACATATTGATTATGTCTCCTCATATATCTAAAATAATTTACTTAATATTCAGGTTACTTAAATAAAACATTATTTACTAATTAATATCTTAACTAACTAATTTCAAATTTTACACAAATTATATAATAAAGAAAATAATACCTGTTGAATTATGTAAAAAATTCACAAATGACAAGTTTCCTTACACAATATCCAATCTTATATGTAAATATATGGCTACAAATATTTAATCAAATATTAAATAATGTTCTTACTTTATATTTAACATGACCAATGATTCAACCAGCTATGAACCTAGATTATAACTTCACAAATCTTATCATGACAATTTACTATGTGACTGATAAGACAATGATGCTCATAAAACACTGTAAATTTACTTTATTAAAAGTTGATATATTACTAATACATGTACATCTATCAAACATCTTCAAAAAATGTCAATAATTTTGACAAATCGTCAGCCCTTGGGGTAGGGGGAGGGGGTTAAATTACACAGCTCTTGTTAAAATACATGGTTTTACCCTTGTCAAAAATGGTCCAAATATTTCTACAAATATACATATATATGTAATTGTTGTTATATCATTAAACCTTATCAAACTAAACATTTCAAATTGACTTCTCTATCTTTCAATCTGGATAAGACCATTTACCATTTTAAGGAATAAATTTTAAAATATAATTATACTGACAGAACAGTCAACAGTACAGACCATGTTCAGATGGTAAAGATGTGACAGCTGATCTAGTTAGCACTGGTCATATCTGGTACATACAGTATCCAGCCGGCTAAATATTAATTATACAGCCAAACTGATTCCAGTCTTTAACATACACTCTTTCTAAATTTACTTCAAAATCCATGATATTGGGTATCTATATACATCATAAATGTACATGTATTAAAAGTCTAGCTTTTAAAAAACAATAGTGCAATAAATTTTATCTCCTTACATAAATTTCCCTATATATCTGATCTACTTTATTAATTGGCTGTATGTTTTTAATGAATGTTAGCTGATTTCATTTGACTTCCATGCATTTTTGTATTAAAAAAAATCCACTTACCTTTCCTCTTGTTTTGTGCTATAATTTTCCTAGGTAATTGCTAGTGTAGGTGTTGTTGTTGATTCTAGCTGACTGATTGTTGTTGACTGAAATCAATAAGAGGAGATTAATGAAGCAATGATTCTAGATAAGACAAAGTCAACATAATAGCCTACCTAGACAACATTATACATGTATCATCTTATCAACTGTATGCTTCAATATATATACATCAGGGCCTTTTACCACTTTTATAACAAGGCCCCCCCCCCATTAGCTAGCTTCCCCCCCCCCTATAAATGCAGTTTTCCCTAAAATTCAATCAAAATTTTCACTTCCCTATTTGCAAAAATATTGTTGCATTTCTTTAAATATACATGTATATGACAAGGGTCACTTTCCCTATCTGTAAAAAACCCATTCAATAATAATGGTTAACTATTGTGATGTAAATACCAAATTAAATGTAAATGAAACTTTATACAAACAGATAAAAATTATATACTATATTTTTGCGAGTTTTAGTCAAACAGACACAGTTTATATAATATACTAAATGACATAAAAGTAAGTTTAGACTGTCATTTAAATTATTTAATATCTGAATTTTCCCTGTGATTTACCTCAACAGAAGATAGACAGATAAAATGTTGCATAAGAAGAGTGTAAAAATCAGTACATGAAATACATTAGCTAAAATAGCTTATAACTTACTGACATTTTTTTGGTATGTAAAATTTTGATGAGTTAGATTGAATAAAACTTATACTGAATCATGTCATACATGATATGTATCAAATACCTACACTGAAGTAGAGTATAACTTAACAAAATACTCAATGTATAGAATATATCATTGCTAATACATTAGTCTGTTCAGTGAGTAGACACACTGCACATTTCTATCATTGAATTATAAAGTGGGAAGATATGCAGCCTTGTCGCAAAAACACTAATTCAAATAACATTTTTATTTTCATTACAGATTATCACATCATTATTAAATTTTGCTAACAATATAACAGGAAGGTGATAAAGGACAGATTCTTTGCTGTCATTAGGAAAGCGACTTTATTATAGAAGCTCCACCGAGGTCAAAAATCTTAAAAACATAAAATTTGAAATTCTTACATACATTAGAAAAGTCTGCAATTTAGGGAAATAAAGAAATATGCTCAGTAATTAAATTGACATTTTTTTTGTGTAATTCTTAGAAAGCGTTGCAATGCTATTCATTTTTAGATTATTTTGCACAATGAAATTTAAATGATGATTCTGGAAAAACAGACAGAAGGAATGATCTGAAAAAATTTGCATAAAAATTATTCTTCTAGCCATACATCAAATGGTACACAAATACTGGAAAAATATCTTCAGTCCTGTCATGTCACAAAACCTCAGTGGAGTCTATTTAAATTAATGTTGGTGATCTAGTCAGATGCCCACTTAATGAAAATATTTATGTTGTTTCTTTTTATTTTCTTCAATCTAAAAGTGTATCCCATGTCTGAGACAATCAAAATTGAGATTTCCAGGATATATACAGATTAATACCAAAATATCACTTTATAAAATCAGTTAATTTATAGCAAGCCTGTGAGGTCCCCCATTAAACAGGTGTTGCAATGAAGGATCAATGTTTACAAAATACAGCGTTGCAACAGTTTAAAATAACAGTCAGATTAACATGCAAATAATAAAAACTACTTTGATGGTTTTTTTCGTCAAGAAAGGCTTACTTTCTATTAATCATCTTATTTCATATGAATGCATGAGCCTGTCATGAAATTTTATCTTTTGATGATATTTTAATCTCAAAAACACTCAAACCACAATATGTGAGATATTGGCTTTAAAGTACAACAACATCCTGGTCAATGCTGTTTTTCACATTTTTAAATTGTTTAATAGACCTTGTAAAAGTCACATTTTACACAATTACTTAAGTATGTCTGTAATTTATACATTATTTGTTAATTGATATTAAATTTTACTATTCAGAGGCTTATTGTTTGTAAACTTGTATTCTCATTCATTACTTGTTTTTTTGTAAGTCATTGTTGACATGTATCTTTTTAGTAAAAGTGAGGGAAAGATTAAAAGTGAAAACAATAAGTCAACTAATACTGTGTCTTAACCATCACCTGTTTGAATTGGTCAAGATCGGGCAGGGTGACAATATTCCTGGGAAGCTGGTTCCAAATGTGGTACAGTGGGGGCAAAATAATTAATTATGGTAGTCTGATGTAACTTGCATTTTCCTAAGAGAGAGGTGGTGCATATGTCTACTCATAAGCCTAGATGGAGTTTTAATTCAGGTAGGAAGGCTAAAGGCTACTAGGTTGTGATAGATTTTGAAAAATATAGTAAGTATACTGTATAATCAGCGATGCTCGATTTTGTACGCCAGTCAAAATCTACCTGCATGACTGTAACTGGAAAATAGTTGTGTTTCACTCAGATATCACAGCCTTTTTCCTTCTGTTGCAAGTGTGGTTTAAAATCATGCAGTTTTTCCCCAAAAAATTGAATTTACATAAAAAAAATTCTTCTCCTTAAAAGCAAAAAGCAAAAATAATGTTCAATTTTCGCAGGGCTGCTTCCCCAACCTGTGAAAAAAAGCGAATTAAATTGTTTTTTATTGCTCCAAATTATTAAGTTTTTATGATTGGTATATTAATAAGTATGTGTGTTGTGATTGATTAATATTAAGGCTGGGGCGAGAAGCCGAGTACTCGGATAATCACAAATCAAAATGAAAAATCAAAATATTCGTCAACCCAGAGATTGTGGATCGCGATCTTATTTGTTTATTATACATTCGCTGTTTCTCACACTTTAAAAGTAAAAAAAAATCAATTTAAGTATGAATTATACGCTGTGTTTACCTAAATACAAATCGCCAATTAAAGACATGAAGTAAACAAACATGTACCATGATGTTGAGCTAGGAAGTAATTACATATATATTCGAAAAAGGAATCACTTTATTTTTATTAAGCACTATGTTTTTACATGAAAATAAATCAATATTTTTAGTCGCTATGTATAGATTTATAATAACGACGGTTACGTGACATGTATCGAAGACGGTTTATTTTTAATAACCCAAAATTAGCGAAATTTTGAAATACTTATCATTTCATGTGACTAGACAAGTTCTTGTACAACCGTAATAAGTCAGTTTGCCGTGGCATGTTTTACAAACTGCTTTTTTTCTCATGTTAAATTGAAATACCTAAGTATTTCCAAACATTTAAAGAAAATTTGCTGGTGGAATTTTATATTGGCGCTTCTCGTTTCAACCTATAACCTAGTTTATATTTGCATATTATGTTTAATCAAATTAATCTTTATTATTATTTAAAGAAAAATAAACATGTTTTAAGAATTGATGTTCATGTTTTTATGGGTGTCTTGATAACAAAAGATTCGTGCTTCAATTTGTGAATCGCAAGTGCTGAATCGTGGGTCAGATCGGATCGTCACTTATCCAACGATCCATACCCTTAACAAATATACATTTTATTTAAATGTAAGGGCATTTTGAGCTCCACACCCCTAGTGTCTGTGAGTGACTAAATTGACTAATAGCGATCTCAAAGAGCTGCCCCAAAGGCCCTGCTCGTAAAGCAAACATTATGGTAATGTGAGTACCGGTTAAGTGATGGATTGAAACTTGAACTTCAGTTTTGAATTTATTCTACTATATATTAAACAGACCTGGGGTAATCACTAATCGTAATCATCGATTTTTTAATTGATTACATGATTACACTGTAATCATCATGTAATTGATTACCTTGCTCAAAATTGATTACATTAATTGCAATTAATCAATTACAGCTTAAATTCAGTCTGTAATTATGATTACAATTTGATTGATGTTGATTACTTTCAGATTTTACATGAAACTATTTAAATTAAAATAATTCATTTCACATGTTACAGTTTAACTAAGGTAGTAAAATATCAAGTGAGACATCTTAAGACATCACTCACAATGAAGAAATAAGTTTTAATCCATACAGTTAACCAAATTCTAACTGAAAGATAGACATCATTGTTTGGCTGGTATTCTAATTAAATTTGTCAAATCATTTGATTTATGATGTCTTTGAATGTCCTAAAGAAACATCTGGAAATGTGACAGCACAGTGCAAATTGTGCCCTAAGAAGATAAATGGAAACACTAAGGCACATTCAAATTTCATTACCCACATAAAGGTATGTTAAATTTTGTTTCACATATTTTGGATAAACCATGCTTTAAAAAGTTTCAAACGATGTAGATAACTTCTTTACTAAAAATTTGTATATTGTAGAGTTTATGTCAGATGCATATTACCATATTTTAATTATATGCAACAGTTATTTTGTAAGGTGATAGACAATGTGTCTATATTATACTGTAATAGATACTGTTGTACCATTGAAGTGTTTGTAAAGAAACTGATAATTTCTTTGTAAAGTCTATTGTCTCTTTGAATTCCCATATAAAAATTTATTGTTTTCACACCTGTTTTACACCTGTATACAGCATACTGTACAATTGACCACTTATAAAAATTTCTGTTGCAGAGACACTTTTAAAAATTTCTGTTGCAGAGAGTTCATTATGAAACCTACACCAAGAAGACTGAGGACCATTCCTGCATCATTGGCCCCAGTAGAGCGTTTGTTTAGTGTTGCGGGTAAAATTTCCGTCCTGATAGATGCAGTCTGACTGACAGACGGTTTCATGAACTTATGATGCTAAAGTGCAATGCTAAAATATGATAAAGTGATGTGACAGTAACTAAAAGTGTGTTAAAATGATGACAGTTGATGAGCTGGAAATCCTTTGTGTATATAATGTATATAATGTAAATATTAAATAGCATTAAGAAACTTTTGTTTATAGTTATACATGAAATGTAATCAATTATCAATCAATTACTTTCTCAAAGTAATTGTAATTTAATTGATTACAGAGGCAAGTCTGTGTAATCAATTGTAATCAATTACAATAAAATCTGAAAGTAATTGTAATTAAATCAATTACTGATCAATGTAATCATCTCCAGGTCTGATATTAAACTAAATTTTCTTAAAATTATCACTGGCCCGAACTAACTTTCACTGGCTATGGGCCACCGGGCCGTGCTAAATTTGATGACTGTATTGAGTAATGATAAATAAGTTTTCCTGTTCTTCAGAGGCGATTTTGGTTCCCTGTCCTATAATATTTAAAGCATGCCGGGAATCAGTATCAGCAGGTAACCTGCACTATTATTTATCGAAGCACGCCGGGAATTACTTTTTCAGATTTTATGTCTCATTTTGGTTCCTGTTCAAGTTGACATTCGGGTCCCCTTGCCAATTACCGTTTATCCAAATGCAAAGTTTTGCGAAATTACATTTTTCGCAAAAATAAATTTTCGAGAAATTACATTTTCACCATATTACATTTTCGCGAATTGGGACTCTTACTGCCCCACGATCGTTTGACGAATTAATCATAAAGTACATATAATTTCAACTGATTCAAGTGTATTTACAATATTTTGATAAATTACAAATAAAATAATTAACTTTATACAAATTATATCGATTATATAAAGAAAAAATAGATGTCAAACAAATGGTATAATTTATTTGACCCAAATTTGATTATTTAATAAGGGTGATCAGGGCTCATCCTGGGGGGAAATTTTAGGGAGAAGTGACTTCCTCGCGAAAAATAGGGAGAAGGGAAACAACCCAATGTGTATGCATTAACATGCATGGCTATACATCCTTTAACTATAATATAAACACAATTAATCTATTTATCAGCTATTTATTAGCTTTCTCTAAATATTTGTTTATATATTTTCATGTAGATTTATTGATAATAATGTGCAAGAAAAAATATGATCAATAAATTAATTCTGGGACATAAGAGTTATCTCATGTCCCAGATTAATTTTATATTTTTACTTTCTTCACTTTTAATAGAAGATAAAGTTACATTGGATATTGATTAAGGTAGACCATGGCTAATGGGCACTATAAGGAATTAACCTATAGCTCTTCAGCGCTTCTTATGTAAAATTCTTCCAAGTATAATTTCCAATAACCGTAAATTATATCATACCCAGACTATGGTATAATTTTCAGTTTTGAAGATCGAAGGAGTAAGTGTTTCTGGGCGGAGCTATAGGTTAAAACAGATACACCATTGGTGCGTTGACGATTTCTGGGTTTGCGTAAATTATACCATAATCATGTGACCTTTCTTATGCAACCTCACTCGACTTCGTCTCGTGAGGTTAAGGCATAAGAAAGGTCACGTGATTATGGTATAATTTACGCAAACCCAGAAATCGTCAACGCAGCAATGGTATATCTATTACCTGTAAAATTGACAACATAGGACAGTTATAGACCTTAAAGGTCACCTGTATGCAAAATTTGAATGAAATTTACCGTGTGGTTTATGAGTTATGGATATATTTCTGAACTAAAACTTTGCTATTAGAAGGGCTTTTTTCAGAAATGAGGAAACTTTAAATAATCTACAATATCTTCATTACGAGAAATGTTTTCCTATTGCTCTTTGTTCAAAAACAAACAATAACATTCAGGTAACAAATAACACGAGCAAAATGTGTTTCTAAACAAAATGTTTTTCATTTGTTAAAAACAGTTACCCTACCCCATCCACTTTAAACACTTATTTGACCATTTCCCTATATAAAAGCCTTATTCAATATATCCCTAAAATTTACCAAAATGAGGGACTGTAATCAAAGTTTGCCTGAATTTTCTTAAAAGTATATTGGTTGATCATGCGAAATATAAAATACTTTTACTGTGTAGTTTTTATTTTGTTAAACTTTGAAAATATCTGGTATCATATTTGCTATTAAATTTGACATTTTTTAGCGAATAAATACCTACAATAATTATATAATTTAAATCAAACACTTTTTTCTTCCATAAGGGATCTGAGAGATACATAAATAATGTGAAAAAGAAAAAAGAAAAGAAAGAAAAAAAAGTTGCCCCTTCTGGGGTTTGAACCCACGCCCCTCAATTTCAATGTAGTTGACAAGTGATTTTAGCCTATTTGAATACTCTTCAAAGTGGAGGTAATGCATTACCCATGGTCTACCTTAATAAAATCTGTCTATCCTAGCTGTTCTGATTACATAAATTTCTTTTATGATCTTGTGTGTGTGTGTTTTTGGTTTTATTTATACTGGGCGCCGGTTTCCCATATGTCCCAGACTAGTCGGCCTCTATTACGATTGCTGGTAACGTAGAGCCTGCAACGGAGGACTTATTCGCCTGCAACGTCGTCGATGTCGTAGAGCCGCGACGGAGGTCTTCTCAAGCTGTCGATCGTCGTAGGCCTTCCCTAGGACCAGATTCTCTCGCTTGTTGAACAAATGACAATAGGAGGAAAGGCACCTCTTCCGGGAGCAGCAGCTCTCTTTAGGGCCACACCCTTCGTCGTTGGTTAGGTCACACCAGCTAAGTGACCTAACTAGGTCACCCATCTGGTGTGACCTATGCCTTCCAAGCGACTGCACGCCACGAAGGGAAGTCGAAGGGAAGTCGGAAGTGTTATGATCTTGTATGTTGTAATGTTACATTTATGTGCATATAATTATGCTTATGAAACAATTTTCAAACATCGAAGAATATGTAAAATATGTACTGCAAACATATGTGCACAATATATTTGATCACTAAAATCATATACATTCATTTCTTATTGAAAAATTTGACTGAGAAATTATAGAAAATAAATTTCTAATTACCTCCCTTTATTTTCATGAAATGTTAAACTCGGTAATATCTTTATAAATAATGCTTTTTGAAATTTTCAATATTGATAAATCTGAAACTGAGCGTCATATTTATGACATTAAAACAAATATATATATTGAAACAATAAGAACACTTCTTTCCTGACAAATTTTGTTGTTATAGATCTATACATGTACACATGATATACGACCGATATGTAGCATGCCAATCATGATTCGTTGTCGTGCCCACGTGCGTAAGCTGTGTCAAATTTGGCATTTCTACAAAGCTAACAATGCCAAACACTCACACTGTCTAATAACATACCAAGCCTAAGATTTTTGCGAATTGGCTTTCTTAAATTTTCGCGTAGGTGTATCAGAATCAGTAACTTTCTTTTATTGCTAGGTTTGGGCATTTCGTCCTGTAGCCATGACGTGAGCGACATAACAATTTTTAATCGATGTTAACAGACTGAAATCATTCAAAACTATGATGAAAAAATCTGGTCGCTGATCATTAATGAAATTGATTATTTTTAATTGACTAACAGTTATGTGATAACCGTGAAAAACCCATTGCACATCGCCTTTACTCAGGTTAAACACCGGGTGTATATCAATTAGGGAAGATTTGCACGTGTTTAGATGATCGGGAAAAAACAATCTATAATTATCGCCAAATCCCGTATTAAACTCGCAAAACTGTCACACAATTATACCCGTTTCGGGCCGATGCTCTCATTATTTACTGTTTAGAGTAGGCGGTCTATCGCTTTGCATACAGATAGAAGGGTAGTATAAAGCGACGCTCTGATTGGATAATGATAATTAGCAGTCGTCATATGGGCGGATACAATCTCTGCTCTTTACATTGCCAAGTAATTACTCTTTTGGAATTAAGATTTTATCGGCGATGTTGACTTCTCTTTGATCAATTGGGAGAGCGAAATGGAAATATACACGGCAAAGTTATTGCCTGAATCGCCCTTTCTATACCTATCAGTGAAATTTTCAGTGCCATATCTAGTTGGACACCACCATTTTCAATATAGCTCAATAATAATAGGCAAGCGGTGGCCTAGTGGTTAAGGCGTCTGCCTCTCAACTCCAAGATCATGGGTTGGAGCCCTACTCGAGTCACGACCATGTTTCTTCATATTACACCAGTACTGGTTAGTTCCAGGAAGCTAACTCAAAAGTGATGAATATAACAGGGCTTTTTTTTCCTTCCATAGCAGGGGCCGTTATGGGCTGCTTCCCCAAGAAAAATTCTTTAAAATCAGACTGTTTTCCCAAAAAATTGAATTTACAATTTACAGTTTTTCCCCTTTAGCATATATACAGTGTAATTTTTTCCCCAAAATCAAGGGTAGAGCTGCTTTCCCAACCTGTGTAAAAAGCCCTGTTTAAGCAGGGTTGTCATTAAGAGGCGGCAGGATGCCAAAATGCCTGTCTCAAATGCATTATGGGCCGCCTCAAAATTAAGAAAACACTCTTTGTTATGCATGATAAAGACAGAAATGACCGCCTCAAGTTCAAAACAAACCTTCTGCACAAAATGTTAATGACAACCCTGTTAAGTTGCAAGAACATGTTTTGCATTACGCAATTGAGCTAAATATGATTAAACCAACGATAATAGGCAGGGTGTTATGTAACAGATTAATCGCAACTTTTCTGCTAAACAATAATCGTCGAGATGTTCCGAGGGAAAACAGAAGGGGTGCATAAATTACCAAATGACACTTTTAATACAGAAAATGTCAAATAAAAAATGGACGATTATTTTAACTGACTTGTCTCCATTCATAGGCTTTGCGGAATGGTTAAATAATAGTTATTTATGTACAGTGCACAACTCCCAAAATTCTGGAAGCATTTGCAAATGGGGTTAACCCATAACTTTACTGTCGCACAACTTCAAAAATAAAGCAAATTAAAAAATGTTTAAAGATATCTAGAAACCTAGCACAGTTTCGAGATGCATAAAGTACGAATAGATGTCGGTTAAATATACAGTTATAAACAAAAAAGCTTGAGTAAAATTTGTATAAAGACCAAACTAAAAAAATTAAAGACAAACGTTGTTATAAAGACCGAAAAACATTAACTTTAAGTTCATTATTACCTGTCTGTTAGAACGACTGTTGTTATCTAACTCGTCCCGGTGTTTATGTAAAAAATTGCGTTCGTAAAAGTCGGTATGCCTAAAATACGAAAGTGAGATTTTTGACGAAAGTGAGCGAAAGTGACTTTTAAAATTTGAATTGTACCGTTTTAATAGAATTTTACAGTGAATTTTCTGTTTGTAGACGTATAATATTAGCCACTTATAATATTTCTTTTCAAAAATAATCACTATGATGATTTAATCGCCATTTATTTGCATAATTTCTATACTGTACACAAGTTCTGAGATCTTTCTTTCCCTCACATTGAAAAATACGAAAGTGACTTGTAAAATATGAAATAAAGCGTTGAATTGAAAGTTATACTAATATTGCATTTTTCAGGCGTATATTATCAGAAATTAATATTATTTATTTTCAAAAGTAATTATTATGATGATTTTTACCCCATTTTATTCATTTCTATATAATAATAATAATAATAATAATAATAATAATAATAATAATAATAATAAACTCTTTATTTAACGAAGGTAACTTATTAAGACAATACATCAAAGCATTAGATACAACACATATAATGCAAAATCTTATTTTCAACAAGGCCTTCAATAAAACATAAACATAACAACGCACATATTCAAGCAATTGTAAAGATTACAACATTCAGTAAATCTTAATCAACAAAGAAGACAGACATAATATTATATTATAGTATAGGTAAATTTTCTATAATTCTAGATAATAATAAATGTTTGAAATGTGATTTAAATAATTTAAGACTTGAAAGATTTCTTATTTTTAAAGGAATAGTGTTCCATAACTCCATACTAGAATAATAAAAAGTACATTTCAAATAATTTGTTTTAGGTCGTTTATGCATAATATCTTTTTTATGTGTTGATCTTAGTAAGTAAGTTTTATTTTGAGATAGCGGAATTAGATTAGAAATATATGCTGGCGTTAATTCATTCATCGCTTTATATACCATAATTCCAGAAAAGTATTTACATCTAGATGGAAAAGATAACCATTTCATATTTTGAAACATATCAAGAGAATTTGTTTTTACGGGTTTATTTAAAATAATTCTAGCGGTTCTCTTTTGTAATTTTGTTATTCTATTTAGATCTGATTTGTTACATTGGGACCAAATAATACATCCATAATCAAAAGTAGGGGCAATGTAAGCGTTATAAAATAATTGTTTCATTTCAGGTGTAAGAAATATTTGAATTCTTTTCAGCAGAGATATTTTAGAAGCAAGCTTAGAACATGTTTTGTCAATATGTGTTTTCCAAGATAGACAGTTATCGATATGCAATCCAAGTAGCTTTTGACAATGAACATTATTTATACTCGAATTCTCAATATGCAGAGAAAGATTGCCTATGTTATTTATTTTACATTTTTGATCCAATTATCATGCACGTGGTCTTTTCTGGATTTATGGCCATATTATTGAGAGTGCACCATTCCTGTATTTTTAGTAAGTCTAGTTGCAACTCAGACTGTATATTACTCAAACTTTGGTCAGCTATGTGTAATGTTGAATCGTCTGCATACATATCAATGTCTGAATTCGTAGTGACTGATATATCATTTACATATAAAAGAAACAGTATAGGACCTAAGATTGAGCCCTGTGGCACGCCTGATATAACCGGTAAGCTTTCAGATTTATCGTTGTTGACTTTTACAATTTGCTCTCTGTTAGAGAGATATGACTGGAAAAATTGTACAGAGTTTTCAGAAAAATGATAAAGTTTTAATTTATGAATCAGTATATTATGGTCAACTAAATCAAAGGCTTTTTTAAAATCTAAAAATACAGCACCTATTATATTTCCATCATCAATATTCGTAAGCCAAGCATCTATAAGGCGGATCAAAGCCGTTTGGCAAGAATGATGTCTCCGGAAACCTGACTGGTGTTCATTAATGATATTGGTATAATGAAGATAATTATTTAGCTGATTTTCAACATGCCTTTCAAGTATTTTTGAAATGGTTGGGAGAATAGATATTGGCCTATAATTATTGGGGTTTGACTTATCTCCCCCTTTGTGTAAAGGTATAACACATGCTAGTTTCAGTTTATCTGGGAATATACCTAGTGAAATACTCTGATTAATAATTGAAGTTATTGCTCTCGTTATAGAGTCTTTACATAATTTTAACATATTAGGACCAATTCCATCAATGCCAGAAGATTTATTTTATCAAGGTTGTCAATATATTTGCTTACTTCAAATGTGGTTATGAAATCAATGTCAAATTGCTTATGTCTAAGTTTATGATCTAGAAAATCTTTTAAATACGAAAAATTGTTAACATTAAAATAAGATTTCTTAATTAGATTTGAAATTTCTGTAAAATGTTTATTTAAGGCATTTGCAACATTCACATTTCCTTCAAAAAGAACATCATTAATGTTTAATGTGATTGGTAAAGACGGTTGCTGCTTATTCTCATTTGATATGTCTTTTAAATTTTGCCATAAATATTTACAATCTCTCGAATCTTCAACTGCCTTGTTATAGAACATCTTCTTACTCTTTTTAATAATAGCCTGGCATTTATTTCTCCATAACTTATAATTAATCCAGTCTTTACAACCTTTATAGTGATCTCTTTTATTGCGGGCCTCTTTAATTTCGTCAGAGTACCAATCTGGTTGTTTAGTCCTTTTAATACGCTTTACTTTTACAGGCTTTACTATATACAAGTTCAGCAATCTTCCTTTCGCTCACATAGAATATTAAGAAAGTGACTTCTAAAATATCAAATATAATGTTTAATTAAAATAAAGTGTTGAATATCAATTATTAATTTCTGATAATATACGTTCACAAACTGCAATTTAAGTACATTTTCAATCAAACTCTATATTTGAAATTTTACAAGTCACTTTCGTATTTGTCAATGTAAGCGAAAGGAAGATCGCTGATATTGTATATAGAAATTATGCAAAAAAATGGGGTATAAAACTATAAATCATCATAATGTAATGATTAATTTAGAAAATAAATAATATTAATTTCTTATAATACACGTCTACAAACTGCAAATTTAGTACATTTTCAATTTAACCTCTATATATTGAATACTTTACAAGTCACTTTCGTATTTTTCTATGCAAGCAAAAGGAAGATCGATGAACTTGTATATAATTAACGACTAGTACTGCTAGTTCTAGAGACGAAACATCCGAAACTAGACATAAAGATGACATAAACTCGCATATCAAGAGACGATATAGACCAAACAATAGAAAAACCTATGGTGTTCAAAACGGAACATATCCAAGTAATACTGAAAATGTTGATCTAAATGACAAAGATTATCCACGTGGCTCAAATATCTCAGTGCGAGTAAGTAATAACCGGTTTGGACAAGCGAGAAATGACTTCCACAATGACACATTTGATGAAAAAGCCAGTTTGATTGTCACGTTAGAAAGCGAACGAAAAGTTATTACATAGGAGGCTTTAAAAATTTCAATTTACTGTGAACTTAATTCATCAGTTCATATTCCATAAAGGTCTGAGAGCGGAACAATTAAAATATTCCCGTGTAAAAGAACTCCAATGACGTCATTATTCGCGCTAACATCTTCGCAGATGATAATGTACATAGAATTGTTGAGCACGGATTTTGGCCTCGAGGAGTAATCTGCAAGCCATGGCTATCACGTTAACGCGCTTAACAATAAACGGAGAACTTGGAATCAAGGTAATGCTTCTGATGTTAATTGCGAGATCCACAAGGTAATCGATTCTACAACCTTCAGATAGTAATTGGAACACTTATTCTCATGACTCTGACAAAATATATACAATCACTTACGTGGTGATGCTATCTGAATGCATAATTCGGATAATTAAATTGCCGAGAACACATATAGACCTTTCTTTATGGAACTAAAACATAGGGCTCTTGGAATATTACGGGTCTTATGTCAAGCTGCTCGTATCTCTGCGATTTTCTGCAAAAATATCAAATAGACATAATAGGAATTTCAGAGCATTGGCTTTCAAGTCGAAATGTACATTTTATTAATAGTATTAACAGTAATTATAAATCATATGTTGTCTGTGATAAATCCGCTAGTGCGATTAACAGTTCTGTAACACGAGGCGGTGTTGCTTTAATGTGGAATGTTAAATATAATAGCCTTGTTTCACAACTATGTATTGATGATGATAGAATAATAGGTATACAGGTGCAAGTAGCGCCTTCACAATTATGTTATATTTTACAGGTTTACCTGCCCTCGAGGAATCATTCTATATCTATGTTTAAGGATTATATTGATAAGGTATTTGATTGTTGGTCAATGTATAATGAGTTAGGAATAACCCTCGTTATGGGGGACTTTAATGCCAATTACTTCAAGCACGATTCAAGATATAAGTTTATGTCACAATTCCTTATAAATACCAATTTGTGGCCGGTTAATGTAGGGGACATGTGCACTGGAGCCACAAAATCATTTGTATCATATGATGATTGCTACGAAACGCTAATAGACTATATATTACTTCCAATCGAAAAGTTGCAGTATGTTCGTTATTGTGAAATAGTTGACGACCATTGCTTGAATTTCTCAAGACACCGACCAATAGTTTGTACACTAGCTCTTCCATACTTTAATGTCCCTGTGACAATTAACACAAGCAATGACATTGATTTTCCAATTTCATGGAAAAAAGTTCAAGATTCTCATGTAAATGAATATCAGTTTTTCTTAGAGAACAGCACACTGAAAACTTGGAATTATAATAACCTTACAGGCCACGTAGACATTGACAATATGTATACAGACATGGTAGAAACTATGGTTTCCGGGGCCAACACTGCTTTCCAAGGGCAAAATTTAAACACTTTCTGAAACCTTACTGGAATAGTGAGCTAACCAATTTACACAAATGTGTGAAAGAAGCGCGAATGCATTGGTGCAAGGATGGTAGGCCTAGGGATAGTATTTCCGATAGTCGTAAACGATATAAAGACGCTAAACGTCAATTTAGAAAAATACACAGATCTCAAGTCCGGAACCACCT